GGTCATATCAGGTTGTATACTAATCCCTACAGGAAAAGGCACACTGCACTAGAGATCCGGGATGCAATGGGCACAATTCACTGTTGGGGGTTGAAGGGTATACCTGTCGATATAAATAGATTTAATAAACCAATCAATACCTGAGTTACTTCCCTTGTAAGACTAGATATTGATATGGATAAGCACAAGTTAGGGGTAAAGGTAAAATATTTCGTAAAATTGAATATGATTTGAGATGTTTTGTTCAAATTTGACGAAATGCAAATTGGGCTGAATATACATCTATATAGCAGTTCCAATGTATAACATTAAATGCCTTATTTTTAAAAAATATATATCTCCCAAAGTCAAGTCTATCTGTTTGACAGTATGATTCCAATTAATGTACCCTCATCCGTCTCCGAACCAAAAAGAGAGAGAGAGTGAGAAAGAGAGCGAGGGAGGAAAAAAATCTGAAGCGTCTCTGGAAAGGGAAGCAGACATTACAAATTTAGTGATTCCTTGCATAATCATTGCACAATACAACTTCTCCAGAGAGGCTGAAAAAGAAGGGGTGTTTATCAGGTAAAAGGCAGTATCTTTAATCTTCTTGCAATTACAAGACTTCCTGTGTGATTCATGTCTGGTAATGAACATCAACTTGGCAAGTGATTTATTGAGATTTTAAAATGATTTACTTTTTCATCGATTTGAAAAAATCCTGCAAGCCATCAATGAATTTGGCTTCATATATCATCTTAATTTTCAAATGGATCACTTCGTCCTAAAACAGACAAATCTTCGACATGTGTTTTCCAATTTCTCAAAATTTCTTTTTTATTTTTCTTTAAACGTCTTTCAACAACCCTTGGGTTATCCAATCAGTTGTGGACAGATAGTTCAATACTATTATAACATTATCTTGCCTTCCATAAATTGTACTTACACTGGGTAATAATTACGGTAGATGATAATTTCTGTTTCAGAAAAAAACCCTGATGCCTTGCCTCTATCAAATGACTTAATTGTAATATTATATAACCATGACTCTGACAATAATATTGGCATTCACACATCCACGATCTATAAACCACTACATAAATACCACTTAAATCAGAAAAACGACCTCAAATAGCCTTGAACAAGTATTTACACTGCTGATTTCTGGCCCAAGCGTGGTGGTATGTTGAACAGCATAATACGATGACTGTACATTAATTCGAAAAACAGTTTATTAATGTGAAAATACGAAAGTGATCATATTTCACCAAGTTAAAAAGCTTATTTCTCCAATGAAGTTTTATTACATTTTCATTTTATCTCATAATTATACTTTAATAACTATATTTCATCAAGATAGAAGAGTTTAATTTGGATAAATGATTTTCTCAAATTTGTGAAGTATTCATCTGTGAGGATCAAAGAGACTGTTGTCAATTGACTTCCCCTTAACTGAGCCCTGTGAATAGATACATAAACCACACTAATTGGATAATTAAGACAAAAATCATTACATGTACCAACAGCCAGTAATTTTAATTTCATTATCTCACTCCAGGCATTATATCACCACAACAATGCTCTCTTCCCTCTGTTTTCTTCTTCCATAATTAACACATGAATTTGATCCCCAAACGAAATGAAAAACTGATTGATTAATTGAAAACTTTGGCAGTCTATCCTATCATAAACATTGTATGTTTTATAAATGATAGGTTTACGCGGCTGTGAAGTCTATTCATGGGCGTTATTAACATATCTTATCAATAACTCGGTACTTTTCGGAACTATTCATGAAGTGAAAATTGTATACAGAATAAAGACTGATCTGTTCAAATCTTAAATATCTGATCGAGAATCTCATGTCCAGTCATCAATCACTGTTATCAAATTTAAAAGGATATAAGAGAAATCTTCAATATCACTGACCTTGGAATGATAGATTTATTGACAGGAGGGGCCTTGTTACCAAGGGAAACAACCAATAAAAATCAAGCTAACACTGTCATGGAGAGTTGTCACCAGCCATCTCTGTCATGACCAAATCGCGGTGGTTCTGCATGTCCTGATTTTTTTTTATTATTATGTAAACAGGCTGTCAAAAAGATAACATCAATCTGATATTTTGACTTTGGTCAGAATAAGATAATAAATCTATACTGAATCCAATTTTTTAAGAAGACTTTTATTTTCATTCAGACATTGACAGCAGCACAATTTCAAACAGTTTGCTATTTGCCCGAGTTCAACAGATTTATTGGACAAAACGGTTTTTATTGTGTGTTTGCATCTGTCATTGTTAACACCTTTTGTGCAATGTTTTTAGATTTTACCGAACAGATTTTTCCCATTGAAAAATCTGAAAAGTTGGCAAATAAATGACAAGAAGAAAAAGCGTAATTGTGTACTGTAAGAATTTTTGCTGTGAAGATAACTAGCCTTCAGAAAAGCTGTTGTGCTAACCTTAAAACCAATACATCACTACCTGTCACCTCCAAACATCCTGATGTTCACCATTCTTAAGGGATATTTCTACCTATATTTACCGTTTAAAACATAAATCACCCTTTCTCCGTCAACTTAGCTTTCAAGTTATTCCAGGGACTTGCATTTTTGAGGATACTTAAAGATTCTACGAAAAAAGAAAAAAGCTTTTATTTCTTTCTATTTTTCAACCATTTCTGTGATATGGTAATTAATCTCGACTTTAAGCCTTTCAATTCCTTTCTTGTGACAAAGTATATAGCCTTTTCATGATATAGCTTTTGACATTATAAACTCACAAACTTTCATAAGATGTCAAAAACAATGTGTATGTATGTCTATCATATTTACTTGTAACATATCAAGTCTGCGCCTGGTAAGCCTGTTGACTATATGCCTGTCACACTTGCTTATCTTCCTTTATTTGACAAACTTAAGAACTGCATATCGGTTTAATATTGCACTCAATTCTAATACCAAAATGTCACCATTTGTTTCAAACAGCATTTTGAAACAAACTCTTTTAAAATTTTACGATTTTAAAGTCACAAATGTGGCTTCTTGACTGCTACGGCTGTAAAAAAATATGATGACTTATACTTTATGTTTTGCTGTCAAAAAAGATTAGTATTTTGTCTATACAGTGAAAAATATATAACTCAAATACTTATGTAGTCAGAAAGTATGTACATTGCTCAACACTACAGTTAAACCCCACTTACTCAAACTCATGTTCCTCGAATACCTGCTATCGTGGAACTGGTTGCTTGGTCCTGACCGTGTTCTTACCTATTTCTTATCGTTTTCTTGGGACATTTCAATTAAATTAATTTTTCTTTTGATTCTATCAATCGTCATAAAAATTTTGTTCTACAGGGAGTTTGTCTCTGTGTGTAAGTCAATTTATGAAATGGTGCATATTAAGGTGCAGAACACAGTGAAGAAGTAAAAATGATTCACTTCAAACATTTGATAGTTTAAGAATTGTGTAAGATATTAGGCTTATATCACATTAATTACGTCTAAGTTTTGTACATGTACCCTCAAGTATGTTTATGTCTAGATCGTTCCCATCTTTACTGTTATTCCTAAAATTCTACTTCCCCGAGCTAAAAGTTTAAAATCATTCTGTTTTTCCTTGTGATATGGTGACTGTATGTATTGATCATTTGACTGTGTCTGTATTTAACACTGAAAGTCTTTTTTACATACACTAAGTGTTACAAACCATAATGACATGCTCTCCGCATAATTATTTTTAAAATATTACTCTAAATGAGTATGCTGCTGCTGTGAATTTCCATTTTTTTGTTTTTCAGTTTTTTACATTTCTCTCCTTTAAATTTTAGACAAATTTATGTCAGAAGTCATTCAAAATTTCAGAATAATCATAAATTGGAGTCGTCACAGAACTGTATATTGAATATATTGAATATATCATTCACAGACATGGATGGTTGGTACCTGACGATCTATGACCAACCTCTGAATACTGAAATAAGCTTAATCATCAAACTACTGACATGGCCCCAATAAGTTTGACGTAGCCAGGTTTTACTGTCTCTATATACCTGTCAATCACCCTTTTTCATAGTTGACACACCAAAATAAAGAACTTGTGAACACGATTTGCTCTGATCTTCAAAAATGCTTTCTTTTTCACTTTTCAGAATTTCTGAAGGAAAAGTTGGGCAGGTTGAGTGACAGTATAATTCTCGATTGGTTATGTATGAATTTCAGGTGCTAAAGCTGGATGGCTGCAAAGACAATCCATGGCCACAACAAGGTTGAATTGCGTGAAAGCCAATCCATCATGACAACAACAAGGTTGAACTGCTACAAAGCCAATCCATCGTGACAACAACAAGGTTGAACTGCTACAAAGCCAATCCATCGTGACAACAACAAGGTTGAACTGCTACAAAGCCAATCCATCATGACAACAACAAGGTTGAACTGCTACAAAGCCAATCCATCGTGACAACAACAAGGTTGAACTGCTACAAAGCCAATCCATCGTTGACAACAACAAGGTTGAACTGCTACAAAGCCAATCCATCATGACAACAACAAGGTTGAACTGCTACAAAGCCAATCCATCATGACAACAACAAGGTTGAACTGCTACAAAGCCAATCCATCATGACAACAACAAGGTTGAACTGCTTGAAGGACAATCCATCATGACAACATGAATGTTGAATGGCTACAAGACTAAATTCAGTGACAAAGATCACACTAAAACATTACAGAACCAATGAACCACACAGAAAACCTTGGGCATTATACTAATAGTTATTTAACCAGACTAAATAACTATGAAAGATTTCAACTTGAATTGGAAAAAAATAGTAATTGTGTAATCTACAGGATTTTCAATGTCTTCAACCCCCAAATCATTACAGTTCTTGAATATGAGTAATTTAGAGTAACTTAACAGAACAAGACAATGTGGCATTACTTACACAAACACATGGTACACATATAAGAGTCTTGATCAACATAAATGTGTTGAGTTTTTATTCAAAGCTGTGTACCTTTGTGACTCTGGTGTGAAAGTAGGCTGGGATCATTGACCAAAACCTGAGTATCTGTGAACTCCATGTCAGTGTTTTTGTTTGCCTGACCAGAAATACTTTCAGCAATGTCACGAGCCATGTCATGTGGCTCTGTGTCCCCGGAGTACCTGACTCTGACTACGCACATCCCCAGGTAGACCTGTGTGACTGCACATCACGGTCTAAAATTAACCTACAGTCATGACATAACAAAGAAACATTACCCTGACTCAAACCCACGATTTATGTATAACTATCGTGATAGAGTCAAATAATTCAGCAATCCAAATTAGTGCTATCAATCATACCAGGGTTATACAACACTAATGAGGTGAAAGACGTGCCTACCACTGCTTCATCCTGCTTCATCTACACCTAGCAATCTCATACTAACATAGGCTCCACATGTAATTATGAAATTAATAACATGAAGCTCAACTTAGATGGCAAATTACATAGACATATTTCATTCAATTTGTGGCTATTGGGAAATAACTAAATGTTATTTATTAAGATAAGAGAAAGTTTTTAAAACAGATTAACATATAAATATTCTGATAACTGTATAACAAGAAAACCTTGACTCTTTGTAAACCTAAATCAAATCGAGAAATTCTGTCGTAGCCTGTTGTCAGTAAAATATTCTAAAGTTTGAGGTGGACAAAGTCTCACTTCTCTCAATCACCAAGTTTATCCTAGTATTACTGACCCCAGCCAAAATTTGAACTCTAACCTCTCTGTGACATAGGTCAAAGTTGGATGATCTTATTTAAGCAACAAATTGTTTTCTGAAGTAATTATTTTCAATGTAAGGATAAGTGACCTGTCGGTAAATCCCATGGCAGTTTTCCCAAAGAAACAGCTGGCAATTATACCAAGAACATTAAGAAAATACTTTATGATTTAAAGTTACATGACCAAAATAATTTTGGGCAATATGTTATATATATTTCATTATGGTGAGCAAAAACCTCGTTTTGTAAGATAGAGTAAACTCTGTGATGGCTGAAACATGGAAGAATTATTAAGATCATTGTGATGTCACAACACAGTGGAACCAATTGCAATGCTGGTCTCAGCATTACATGAACAGTATGATACCGTTGTAAATAAACACCAATTATTGTAAAGAATGCTATTGAGAAAATCTTAATTTCGACAAGCATTTAAGAATGCAATACATTACTTCTTTGCTTTTTTTTCTATTTAATGTTTCTCTTGTGTATCTCCATTTGTATAAACTTTTGATACAAACTCAAAAGTATCAATAACCTTTAAATAGCAATCCCCTAAAAAGTATTCCTTAATTTGATAAAATGAGTTGTTTAAAATTTGTAATGATTAAAATCAGAAAAATTCAAATGAAAAAGCTAAATTTTCATTTTATTATAAAATAAATATCAGCATTTCATTACGTTTTCTTCAGATTTGTAACAGTATAGGGCATCCTACATTTCACAAATAAGCTATTAGGCCTGCACACAACCAGTGTCGTACCATCGTCAATGTCAGAACATTTCAATCTTTAAATCTTTAAATGAAGTCAATGCTAATCAAGATGCCATAGAAACAGGTTTTCACATGACATCAGCTGCATGGGTTGTACCAGTCGTATCTAGAAATGCAAACTAAAATGGCCTCCTTTCTTGCCATGGGAGATTCTGGTAGGCGCCATGTTAAACCAAACCATCATTCTTATACACACGAGGCTACAGATAACAACTGTACTTTCCCTCATCTTAGCTGCATTAACTGTGGGGTTTCTGCTTCGAATTAAGCCAAGAAAGTATAAAAACGAATATATATTTTTTTCTTACTTTATACTTTTACAGGATGAGCTTGAATAGTTTACTTTCCTGTTAAGTGGATGTCAGCAGACTAACTTTAGGTTTTTAGTCTGTTCCAAAATGAATGGGTAAACTGTCTTCAATCCATAACATTTTCCATTTTCAATGGTCTCCAAATATTCTTATAAAAGAAATATCAAATAAAACAGTGTTTACTCTTAACTATATGTCCTCTGAACCATTTTCTAATTTAATTTTTTTCTTTTTTTTTTTTTTCATTTTGAAAATCCACCTTCATTTATTGTATCGCGATTGATGTTTTATATTCATTCTCAACAGAAATAATGTAAAACCATTTTTCTTTCACTGCTTCTAACTTTTGCCATTGCTAATGAATTTTATTTTTGATCAAAATTTCGTTATGACACTACATCATGATTTCTGAACTTTCTTTTTTCATTTCTAAATATTTTGAATCAACTAAATTAAATGCAGTTCCCCTTTCTGTAAGACATCAAAAAGATATTACATTTTGACATCATTTTGAAATCATGACATTTGTACAGTACTAGACAGATAGAATGAGACAGAAAATGTAGCGTTGGGTAGTGTGCGAGATTTTCATGTCCAGAGTCTATCTACATAGCCTTCTTTATATCAAGTCGTAAAAAAAAGTAAGTTGTCAATAACGGTGCTAGGATTTGATCGCCTGACCAGTCGAGTGACCAATAGATAACTGGTGTCCAGTCCAGCTGGGACTAACACCAGATGATTCTCCCACTAATATTTTTGTGTGTGTGATTTATAAGTTTTGTCTGGAGTGTTGTTGACTTTTGCCCAGTTTTGATATCGTCTCTACCCAATGGTCCTCCCCTTTTAGCCGCAGACACTTGAATGCTGACCATGAAAGACAATGGGTGTGTAATTAATATACATTTATCAGCCCACTGATTCCATCAATTATTGCCCCCAAGTCTTTCAAAGATGCAGAGTATTAGGCCAACTCAACCTGATGCTTTGATTCAAATCAATGTCCTGTGCTAAATGGTGAACATAAGGCCAACCAAATCTAATACACTGGTTTTATGAATGAGAAACCAACTTACACACCCACACAAATAAAAACAAAAAAACAAATATTACAAAGCAAAGGACTGAAGTAAAAAATAAAAATTCCATGACAAAGTTAAACTGAAAGCAAACAATCCCTGACACTAAAAGTAAAACATCCCAAGCAACAGGAGACAAAACCAATCATTCTCTGACAACAAAAGGCAAAACCAATCATTCCCTGACAACAAAAGACAAAACCAATCATTCTCTGACAACAAAAGACAAAACCAATCATTCCCTGACAACAAAAGACAAAACCAATCATTCCCTGACAACAAAAGACAAAACAAAGATTCCCTGACAACAAAAGACAAAACAAAGATTCCCTGACAACAAAAGACAAAACAAAGATTCCCTGACAACAAAAGACAAAACCAATCATTCCCTGACAACAAAAGACAAAACAAAGATTCCCTGACAACAAAAGACAAAACCAATCATTCCCTGACAACAAAAGACAAAACCAATCATTCCCTGACAACAAAAGACAAAACAAAGATTCCCTGACAACAAAAGACAAAACAAAGATTCCCTGACAACAAAAGACAAAACCAATCATTCCCTGACAACAAAAGACAAAACCAATCATTCCCTGACAACAAAAGACAAAACCAATCATTCCCTGACAACAAAAGACAAAACCAATCATTCTCTGACAACAAAAGACAAAACAAAGATTCCCTGACAACAAAAGACAAAACAAAGATTCTCTGACAACAAAAGACAAAACAAAGATTCTCTGACAACAAAAGACAAAACAAAGATTCCCTGACAACAAAAGACAAAACAAAGATTCCCTGACAACAAAAGACAAAATAAAGATTCTCTGACAACAAAAGACAAAACAAAGATTCTCTGACAACAAAAGACAAAACAAAGATTCCCTGACAACAAAAGACAAAACAAAGATTCCCTGACAACAAAAGACAAAACAAAGATTCCCTGACAACAAAAGACAAAACCAATCATTCCCTGACAACAAAAGACAAAACCAATCATTCCCTGACAACAAAAGACAAAACCAATCATTCCCTGACAACAAAAGGCAAAACCAATCATTCCCTGACAACAAAAGACAAAACCAATCATTCCCTGACAACAAAAGACAAAACAAAGATTCCCTGACAACAAAAGACAAAATAAAGATTCTCTGACAACAAAAGACAAAACCAATCATTCCCTGACAACAAAAGGCAAAACCAATCATTCCCTGACAACAAAAGACAAAACCAATCATTCCCTGACAACAAAAGACAAAACAAAGATTCCCTGACAACAAAAGACAAAATAAAGATTCTCTGACAACAAAAGACAAAACAAACATTCCCTGACAAAAGAAAGAAACAAGACATTCTTATACAAAAGGGAACATTACATGATGAAAGAAAAGAATGTTTAATGAAGAAGCAAATCTTCAAGATTTAGCATCAAAGTCTGGAATTTCTACAAGGGCAATGAAGCAAAATCTTCCTTCACAACAGAAACAGACCTACATTAGTAAAACAGTAATTTAACAGACATGTTTGAGGGCTAAGTGGGAGTGATAGAAGCTCTAACTTTGGCCAGGGTGATGTAGCGGCTAAAGGCTTTGATGCTGATGTCAGAAGGTGACACAGGATGGGAGTCCAGGATTGTGTGCAGGATGGAGCTTGGCTATATTTTCATGGGATGTTAATGGGACTGTTGACACTGAGGCAAGATTGAATGCAGCCATGTTTGATCCTTCAGGTGACAAGATTGATTGGTACAAGTCATGTTGGCTCTGACAGCTAAACAATAATCTCCACTTGACGATCTATGCATGCAGCTTGGGGGGAGCCTTCTAGTCTATTGATTCCTTGTTTGCATTTCAATGTTGACAGTTTTCACATATTAGCCATGGCGTACAGTATCAGTGGTCTCCGCCAGCTACGAAATGAAGCCCATGTGATGGGCGATAACAAATTCTTCCACTGTCTGCTGATTACAACAAACTTCCATCAACTTCACACCCTTTTAACGATTTATTAGGCTCATCTTTGTTTCTTATGCCTGCAGAAATTAAGTCAGACAAATCGCTATGAAATATGACCTCTGGAAACCGTCAATGTTGTCCTCCATACAAGTCCTGCACGAGACCACTACGTCTCCATACCACAACTTGTAGCCAGTTTACCATAATAATGTCTTTTCTATCAAATAAGGCATGCTTTTTTTCTAC